GCCCCCCCGCGCCCGCCCCCCGGCCGCTCCCCGCGGGTGGAGGAGGAGGGGCCCTGCGGGTGGGGCAGCTTCTCCCCTAGGGCTCTGCAGCTCTGCAACAACCCCGAGGGCTACCTGAGCGTCTACAGCCTGCTGGCCGTCTTCCAAGGTAACCCTGGCCGGAGCGGGCCCGCCGGATGGGGGCGACCCCTGCGAGACGCAGCCCGACCTCGCCCCTTAGGAAGTAGGGAAGGTGGAGCAGAAGGGCCCGAGGGCATTGTGAGCTGGGAAGGCTGCCAAAGGGATGGGAGAGGAATTGCGGGTCGGCTGGTGTCAGTCTAAAATGTGACAATCTTGTGACTTCACCAGGATCCATGTTAGCATGGGCAGGCTCCTAGCTCAAAAGTGCTGGGACAGTTTGTATAGCTGGGGTGCAAGGAGCCGTTACCAAACCGTATCCCTTTCTATAACGAGAACCACTTCCAGCCAGGGGGTGCTGCAGCCCAAAGTGGCACAGATAATGCCAGACTCTCTTTAGGTGCTTGTTCCCTCCTCTTTCCTCCCCTCCACCCCTGTTAATTACTCACAAACCTTCCTCTCTAGTCAGTACTCTTTCCTGTGCTACTTCACTACTACCTATAAGTTAGGCCGGATCGACTAGTCCCAAAAGGTCTGCTTAAAGTAAGCAAGTCTAGCTACATAAATAGCGTAGCTGGAGTTTAAGTACCTTAACCCAAGCTTGGCACAGTCTCCATGGTGGGAGGTTGATGGAAGCAAATGCTCCCATCGACTTTCCGTATTCCTTGCAAATCAAGGAGTATTGGTGCTGATAGGGGGTGCCCTCAGCATTCAGTTTAGTGGGTCCTTACTAACCTACTCAATAGAGTACCAGAAGATTGATCTCTGGCATGGTAAGTATAGACGTGACCTTAGGGAGTCTAGATGTTGAGACTGAATCTTACTTGGAAGCGTAGGGCCTGAAAGTTAGGCACTGCAATGATGAGCCATAGTGCCCTGTGTGAATCCAGCCCCTACTACTTATAATGAACTAGTAGAGGAAAAAAATTGATAGTGAGTCTTTCAAATAAAAATTGGCAGTGGATATATTTTACTCAGCATCAGAAAATAAGAAGGTAAATAAAGAATATCAGGGAAGAACACTTCAGCAATTTCCGATTATATATTAAACTTGTATCTGTGAACTGAGGTTCTGATCCTTTAAATAATTTAAGCATATGCTTATTTTTAAGCATATATTTATAGTGATAGTTGGGGCCTGAGGCAGTCTTGTAATGAAGGCACTGAACTAGGACTCAAAAGTTTTATAGTTTTGCAACAGGCCTTACATAATTCACTAATGTCTTGATCCTGATATCGGAGATCCAGATGGGTAGAAATGTGCAGAAATGTTTTGAAGCTTGCCTACACAGATCTGACTGCATGATTGGATTTTTATCTTGTGGTTAAAGAGTGATGAGCACTGTTGCGCCAAACCTTCTTCTAGATACAGTAATCCTCAACTTTTATCTCATCAGAACATACAACATTTTTATATGAAGAATAAAATGACAAAAAAAGAAAATTATGAATAATTATTTATATATATCACAACTTTAACTGAGGTGCTACGTTGGTCAAACTTAGGACTCCATTAACTAAGAAGATTTTGTACTTTCATAGCTGGCCTTAAAAAGATGATAGTGTAATAGATAATAATTGATAGATTCCTCGTAGTTCAAGTAGAGCTGTCTGGAAAACTGATTTTTTTTTTTTTTTACTTGTCATTTCAAGTTCAGATGAGGCCTATATTTCTAGAGTATAATCATTATGTATAGCAAATAGTAAAATGACTAACTTGATATCTGATTTATATTGATCAAAGGCCACATAAATGTGCATAATTGCATCCTAGGATGCATGTCTGAGTCACCATAAATTATAACAAGAGATGCTACAGTTCATAACTCTGGGAGGGAGTAACAGCTTTTTAAAGTTGAGTCACAGAATATGTAAACAATGTCGTCATTATTGTTTCCAAATAAAATGCTGCCACTTTTGAGAGCTAGTACTTTTCCTGGGCAAATGGAGGGAATGCTATTTTCACACTGTAGCTGGGACTATGATTGATGCTAGGAGTAAACAGCAAAGATTAAAATAATACATCCAAGTCTGCATGTGGCTTTGATGAGCTTTTGTGACCAGACCTAACATAATACAAATATTATTCTTCAATGTTTGTAAATTATTTTGAGGTACTTGGGTGAATGATTAAAGTTCAGGATAATATTTTTATTAAACTGTAACTGGTTAGAAAAATCGTCAAAGCCACATACTGGTAGTAAAGGTTTAAGTAGACAATGACATGACACCAATCACATCTGAGACCTTTGAGCAGGCGACTGGGTAAAAAGTGAAAAGTAGTAATGATTAGCTTTAGTAAAGTAAGTCAAAGACTAATGACTTGCTAATTACCATTCTAGTTTATTGGTGCAGTACTCTTTGTGAACCACACTGTGTCCATTCCTTCACATACTGCAGAAATGCGAGTAATTGAAACAAACTGTTCCTTGGCTAATATTTACTCGGGTGCCAAGAGCTCCTTGAGTAAGATCTAGGAGTTGCTGACAGTAATGGATTAACAGGCTTCCATTTCTGATAAAACAACTTCTTTCCTTCTTTTGTAATAAGGAGGTATTGAAAAATATCTTGCCAGCAATTGCATTTATTATTAAATTGTTATCTAAATTCTTATAAGTGAAGTTCAATTACCAATTGAATTGTAATGAATTTGCTTATGTGTCTTTAATCTGTGAGCTGAACATTGGTAACTAAATTTAAGACAAATTACAAGAATGTTTAACAGTTTTGTAATCAGTTACTGACTTGCTTCATTTTTGTGGTGTACAGGTATTTAACTCTTGTGAGCCAGCTTCCAAATACTTCCTGTTTTCTACTTGATATGAGTGCTCAGGAACCTAATTATATATTTGATGTCCAGTGCTTTTTTTGTGACTGTACTGCTGGGTACGCAGTACCGGAACCTCCAGATGCAGTACTAGAACCTCCAGTCAGAGCTCAACAACTTTTCTCCTGGAGTACCAGCACCTTTTTTTTTTTTTTAACAAAAAAAGCACTGGATGTACCATATATATGCCGACAAATGACAGAAGCAGAAAATGAGCTAGACACTTGCTCATGTCTTTTTAGGTTATTAGTGTCTTTACTCATCACTGAGAGTTTTTTCCAAGTTAAAAACAACCCAACATAACAGTCCATCATAGTAACATTTGATACTATAATTCTTTTCTCACATTTTCTCCATACCCAATATTCCATAATATGAATTAAGTGTACTAGATTGGACATAACAGTTCATAGGGTGAGCCCTTTTCCACTCTTTTATGCTAGGTGTATGAATTAAGGTGCTTTTAAAGCCTAGTGCTGGGCCAGTGCAAAAACTGTTTTCCTTCTCTTGATAATCACATTTCCAAATCAGTTGCTTGAATTAACCACTTTCACCATGACTTGATAAGCTTCATTTACACAAGTAACTGCTTTCTTTTGTTGTTCTTGTATATATACCCATGCCTTTGTAAATTGCACTCCAATTCATCTGATTAAGGGGGGTTTACCTACAGAAACTCATGCCTTAATAAATGTGTTAGGCCATGTCCACAGTATGAAGTTAGGTCAGATCTAATATGGTTGATTTCCTATCACCTGATTTTGCAAAGTCGAAGCAAAATTAAAAGGACTTTTTTTTTCTTCCAAGCACCGTCTCCTCTTGTGCCATTCATCTGAGCTTGTGTTCATTTCAGATTAACTGGTACAGAGCATCTCACTGGGAGAAATCCTTGGATCTCTTTGTCTTCATTATTTTTATTAAAATATAATTAGGAAAACCCTTCTAAATGAGCTACCAACATGTCCTCGCTGCAGGGAAGAAGTGAATATTGTCCAAAGTAATATGTCCCCATTATGGAGCTTACTGTTAGCTCAGAGAGCAATGCACCTTGGGTAGCTTTGTATTCTGGGCTATGCTCCTGGGGCCCGCTGGGACCAAAATTCTGCAGTGGGTGGTTATGGGTTCATGTTGTCATGTAATCCTGGGAGTGGAAGCAGCGGGGCTGAGGGAGGAGGGACTGGTGTTGTCATTGGGGCAGGCAGGGTTCTTGGAGGAGTCCCTCTCCAAACATGCAGCCAGGGGCTCCATCACAGCTGTCAGGGAGGCAAAGATGGTCTCAACTGCTCCCTGGCAGATTGGGAGCAGATGCTGTTTGAATATGGCCAGAAACCTGGGCCTTATGCTGCAATACTTTGTGGTTCAATGATGCTAGACCACTGCTGGTTTGGTATTGGAAAGTATCCTGCCATGGAGGACAGAATAAAGTCCTGCCATGGAAGACAGTTGAGATTCCAGAAGACTGGAAAAGGGCAAATATTGTGCCCATCTATAAAAAGGGGAATAAGACCAACCCAGGAAACTATAGACCGGTCAGTTTAACGTCTGTCCCAGGAAAGATAATGGAGCAGGTAATTAAGGAAATCATATGCAAACACTTGGAAGGTAATAAAGTGATAGGGAATAGCCAGCATGGGTTTGAGAAGAACAAGTCATGCCAAACTAATCTGATAGCTTTCTTTGATAGGATAACGAGCCTTGTGGATAAGGGAGAAGCGATGGATGTCATATACCTAGACTTTAGTAAGGCATTTAATACGGTCTTGCATGATATTCTTATTGATAAACTAGGCAAATATAACTTAGCTAGGGCCACGATAAGGTGGGTGCATAATTGGCTGGATAACCGTAGTCAGAGAGTTGTTGTTAACGGTTCTAAATCCTGCTGGAAAGGGATAACAAGTGGAGTTCCGCAAGGGTCTGTTTTGGGACCTGTACTGTTCAATATCTTCATCAATGATATAGATATGGGGATAGAGAGTACGCTTATTAAGTTTGCAGATGATACCAAACTGGGTGGGGTTGCAACTTCTTTGGAGGATAGGGACATAATTCAAAATGACCGTAGCAAGTTAGAGAAATGGTCAGAGGTAAACAGGATGAAGTTTAATAAAGAGAAATGCAAAGTGCTCCACTTAGGAAGGAACAATCAGTTCCATACATACAAGATGGGAAGCGACTGTCTAGGAAGGAGCATGGCGGAAAGGGATCTAGGGGTCATAGTGGACCACTAGTTGAATATGAGTCAACAGCGTGATGCTGTTGCAAAAAAAGCAAATATGATTCTAGGTTGTATCAACAGGTGTGTTGTAAGCAAAACTCGTGAAGTCATTCTGCCGCTCTACTCTGCACTAGTTAGGCCTCAGCTGGAGTACTGTGTCCAGTTCTGGGCGCCACATTTCAAGAAAGATGTGGAGAAATTGGAAAGGGTACAGAGAAGAGTGACAAGAATGATTAAAGGTCTAGAGAACATGACCTATGAAGCCAGGCTTCATGAACTGGGCTTGTTTAGTTTGGAAAAAAGAAGATTAAGGGGGAACATGATAGCGGTTTTCAAATATCTAAAAGGGAGTCACAAGGAGAAAGGAGAAAATTTGTTCCTCTTGGTTTCTGAGGACAGGACAAGGAGTAATGGGCTTAAAGTGCAGCGAGGGAGGTTTAGATTGGACATTAGGAAAAAATTCCTAACTGTCAGGGTGGTTAAATATTGGAATAAATTGCCAAGGGAGGTGGTGGAATCTCCCTCTCTGGAGATATTTAAGAACAGGTTAGATAGACATCTGTCAGGGATGGTGTAATTGGAGCTTGGTCCTGCCTTGAGGGCGGGAGGCTGGACTCGATGACCTCTTGAGGTCCCTTCCAGTCCTATGATTCTATGATTGTAAGTTGCTCCTCCTCCCCAATTAAAAAAAAACAAACCTCGTGAGAAGGATGAAAGAGTTTCTAGCGGAGAGTTTCCTGGAGATGTACAGGCACGACTCCTGCTCCATCTGGAGACACATTAACAAGTTGTTCTCAGCCCCCATGCTGTGTAGTAACAGGGCACACCAAACATCGCATCCTATTGCCTTAACCTGCTTGTAGAAGAAAAAATATTATGAATTCATCAGAAGTGCCGCCCTGGGTCAGTGCTCGACTGGGAGACATCCTGGGAGAAGGGGACTGGTTCCAGCATTGTGAGCAGATCTTGGTTCTCATCAATCGCAGGCTGGCCAGTCTCCTCATCCTCACTCTCTGCCACCATGCTGTCCTCCACAGTGATGCCTGGAGTATCTTGGCTGGACTTCACATTCAGACTGATTAGCCTGTTGGTGGCCCCTCTTTCCATGAATAGCACCCAGATTCTCATAGAAGCAGCATCTGTGAGGTGCTGCACCAGATCATCAGTTAGTCTCCTTCGCCTTGTGGAAGTACTGTCTCAGCTCCTTGATTTTAACTCTGCGCTGCTGGACATGCTTAGAATAGCTTTTAGCCTCCTGGCAGCTTGTGATCTTTGCATAAATGTCAACATTTTGCTTGCTGGTTCCGAGCTCAGAGAGAATGGATTCATCTCCACACCTTGATGAGGTCCAAGATCTCCTGGACATTCCATACTGGTGCTTTTCTGCACCTCTGGGAACTGGAGCCTGTGGGAGCAGAAGTATTTGAAGTCATTACCGTATTCGAATTGGACAAAGTCATGTCCACGTGTGCTGCCATGTGCTGCTCGTAATGCTGGCCATACAGGAAATGAAATTCAAATTTACCTGGGGCTTTTTTTGTTTACCTGGAAGGCAGTAGAGGCACAAGTTCTGGCCAGAGCAGTCAGAGCGGGGAACTGTGGGATGCCTCCTGGAGGCCAATAGTCTCAACTTTTGCCAACGCTGTGTCTATACTATCTTAAAGTCGGCTACGAAAGTTAAGGAATAGTATTATTTCTTGTAAAATTAGGAGTAACCAACATTGACTTTAGTGGCTGTTATGGTTGATGCGACAGGGTTGGTAGCATGAACACATGGTTTAGAAAATTAACCTTATGCAGCTAAGTTTGATTTAAACTAGTATAGACCAGGCCTTAATCTCTAAGATGCCACAGGACTTCCTGTTTTTGTCTACCATGCTGTTTTAAACAGTGTTAAGGGCTCCATCAAGACACTACACTGCTATGCATAGCCACACAAGGCAGTATGGATGCAGCTTGCCTTTCACTGAAACATGGAGCGACACAAACTATACACTGCTGCACGTAGTGACAAGACTTTAAGCAGTCAGAGTTTCTGCAGCTCCAGATGAAGAGGACACAAAGGTTGCTTGAATTTGGGTCTCCCACATCCTGGATGAGTGTTCTAAAAGTTAGGCTAAAAGTTATGTAAACTGTTCATCTGGAAAAAAAATTGCTCCATGCTAATGTCTGGATTAAATTTTTTGCTATCATAATCACTAAATTCTCTATCAAGAGTTGAGTGATTAAATGCAAGATGGAATTTGAACTTTCAGATGATACTGTAATAAAATTACATAGTAATTGGTCAAGAAAATAATACATATTTGGTTTGTCTAATCATGTCTCTTTTTTTTTTTTTTTGGTAGGTATCATTGTGAATGGCCTAATAAACGTTAGTATTTCCACCATTGAAAAGCGTTTTGAGCTGAACAGTTCCCTTGCTGGCGTCATCTCTGCAAGCTATGACATTTCTTTTTGTGTATTGTCCCTGTTTGTATCTTTCTTTGGAGAAAGAGGGCACAAACCAAGATGGCTTGCCTTTTCATCATTTATGATAGGATTGGGCTCACTTGTGTTTGCCTTGCCACACTTTTCTGTTGGAATATATCAGTATGGATCTAAACTTGAAGGTAAGTTTATATTTTAGTATTTTTGGTATTTTCCTAACAAAATGAATAAGAGAGATGAATATGCATAGAGTTGTGTTTTAAATAAAAACCTATACATTTGGATATGAAAGTACATTATCTGGATTAAGGATGTTAAATTGCAGTTAAATAACTAGTCAAGTAGTCCATGGAATTTCCATAAACTACTTGACTAGTTGATAGGCACTTCTGCATTCTTCCTTTGAAATGTACAAGAGCACCTGCTGGGGCACCTGCTGTAAATTTCAAAATAGGAATGTGGAACTCCGCGTGCAGCCCGGGACGAGCAGGAAGCCCCAGGCATGCCTACTTTGAAATGTACGTGAGTCCTCAGCAGGGGCTCTTGTGCATTTCAAAGCCATGCAGCCTGGAGTCAACGAGGGACTCAGAATGCCCCGCTGACCCTGGATTCCATGCTGCCCTGAATCTCGGGTTCTGGGGAAATGATGCACGGAACCCAGGGTCAGATGGGGAGTCCCCGGCATTGCCCTTTTGAAATGCTGAGGCAGCATTTCAAAGGCGCAGCGCTGCATGCTACCTTGGCATTTCAAAGGGGCATGCCGGGGACTCCCCAGCTGATCCCTGGCTCAGCTGTGCATCAGCTTCCCCTTTAAAATGACCCCTCAGCATTTCATAGGGGCAGCACCGTGGAGCCAGGGGTAGCTGCAGACTCCCTAGCTGATACTGGGCTCTGCATGACATTTCAGCCATTCCCTGGGTTCTGGGGAAATGCTGCTTGGAACCCACAGTTAGCTGGGGAGTCCCCAGCTGACCCCAGGCTCCACAGTGCTTCAGTGTTTTAAAGGGGTAGCACTGCACAGCTGAGCCGCGGATCAAATGTGCAGCGTCTGTCCCTTTGAAATGCTGCCTTGGGGTTTCAAAGTGGCAGTGTCGCACAGCTGATCCCTAGCTCAGCTGTGCGAAACTGCTGCTTTGAAGTACCCTTTTTTCCCCCCCTATCTGATAGAGGCAGCAAAGGGGGAGGGGAATTGATTAGATGACTGACTAATTATCTCATAAGCAAATGCTTATCGGATAAATAGTCGACTAGTCCTTAACATCCTTAATCTGGATTAGGGTATCAAGATCAAGTGTACAGGAAGATGTGGGATGTGTTCACTCTCCCTGTAGTTTTACTTACTGAGGCGTTGGGTGTGCTACAGTTGTATGCATCTCATATATCATATCTATATCACAAGTTTTTTTTTGGCTTGTTAAGGTCCAGGGCAGATTTTGGGCTTCCTACTGATGCAGATTCATGATTTCAGTGTGCTACAAAGTATCAAGTGCTTTTAAATGGCTGATGGTGTCTTCTCCATTAAGGTCTCAACTTGATATTAAACTTCACTAACTGCTACCCTATCTCAATTTTCTGTGTTTTTAGTAAAGGCTGCTGCAAAAGCTGAGATGAAGGGGGTTACTCAATAGTTAGTCAACCTATCTGAGGTCACTTAAATTGCAATCTTTCTGGTGGAGGACTGTCTTTGTTCTATGTCTCTGCAGCACCTAGCACAACGGGGTTCTGGACCATAGCAAGGTGCTAAGTTACAATTCTGGAAACACTCACTTTATATCTAAGGATCTGCATATTTGCAGGACTCTACTTACACCATCTCCTTTGATGTTTTGGAAGGAGAAAGGTCACAGAATATGGCATTATCTTTTCTTGTAAAATATTTTTGTTTTCCACCTTTCTAAGCCTTTTTTTCCCTTATGCCTTGACTTTTGTGTGTTAGAACTTCTTATGTCTTGATGGCCTTTTTGTTTCTAGGAAAGTTTTAGTGATTCTAATAAACTCAAATGTAACACAAATGAGTTATTAAGAATTTGGAATCTGTTCCATAGAGTATTGAAATCTAGTTGTATATCAATACTACTTTTAAATATTCATTGTATGTGGATAGCTTACATGTTTTATAGGGTTGCCAGCTTTTGAGGTACTTTAAAATCAATAAGATGCTATTTATTTGTATTTTAAACAAATACAATCACGCACTCCTTGAAATTAACCAGTTCCCAATGGCTGATATTAAGAAACTGATTGTAATTTCATATGCAAGACAGTATTCATATCTTGACTGCTCAGGACATTTTTTCTTTTTAGTGGACCTTGAGCATCTGAGTGTGGTTGGGTCTCCCTGGCAGCAGGGTGGCCTAGAGGTTAGGACCCCGATTTAGCAGCGGGACAAGGAGGGTAGCTCCCTGCTGCTTTTCCCTGGGCCTGGGAATTCTGGCCTTTTATTGGGGTATAGTCGTTAAGTTTGGGGTGTCGCCCCAAGAGTCCAAACTTCCCCCTCCTTCATGAAGGTTCCTTATAGGTTTTCCCCCTCCTTTGCCCCAGGATGGAGTGGGGTGGGGTGGGGTGGGGTAGGATTGAAGGCTCATGTACTCTGGTGGTTAGCCAAGTAGACGGATTCTGGCTCAGGTCCTGCAGACAGCAGAACCAGCTCCCGTCTCCTTGCTGGTCAGCTCCAACTGAGCCAGGCTCCTTTTTCTTATCCTCCCTCCAGGTCTGGCATTGGCTGCAGGTAAAGCGGGGTGGGGCTAGTGGGAAAAAAGGCTTTATTTAGCCCCTGTACTGCCAGACCCTCCTCTCCCTCCCTCCCACTGAGGTTAGAATAGAATCTTGGTTTAAGCAACATATATAAGACCTGGCTTGTGTTGACTAACTACCATAGCACTTACATCTTGTTTAGAATTCTACCTACGCTTTTTTCTTAGGGTACGTCTAGACTACATGCCTCTGTCGCCAGAGGCATGTAGATTAGGCTACCAGGCACAGGAAAATGAAGTGGCGATTTAAATAATTGCCGCTTCATTTAAATTTACATGGCTGCCGCGCTGAGCCGACAAATAGCTGATCAGAATTCTACCTACGCTTTTTTCTTAGGGTACGTCTAGACTACATGCCTCTGTCGCCAGAGGCATGTAGATTAGGCTACCAGGCATAGGAAAATGAAGCGGCGATTTAAATAATTGCCGCTTCATTTAAATTTACATGGCTGCCGCGCTGAGCCGACAAACAGCTGATTAG